GTAAAGTCATTACACGGTCAATAAATTTCAGTTTATTTTGAGCATAAGGGCGACATCAAATGCAAATTGAAGTCAATCAAATTGTAGACCGAGGCAATGATGTATGAAAAAGGTTTTTTCATTAAATGAACTAGAAAAGGGTTCTTGAAATTTGTCTACGAAACGAACAGTCCTTGACAAATTATTTGATTCATCATAATTATACTAATGATTATTACAACCATTGACCTCTATATATGGACTGGCTATACACCATGACATAATGAGGTGATTATTTTTTCATTTCGCCAGAAGTGAACGTCCACGGAACTAATGATAGAGATAAAACTGTGTGACAAAATATATCGATAAAAATCCTATACTCAGGCCTACCCGTTACATCCATTCTCTTTATGTATCATATTATTATAATGCCATACATAAACTAATACCCAGACACTAGACGCGAGCTTACAACTCATACCTCATGTATAACCAAGATCGATGCTGCGTTGGTTTGTCTACGTTTTTATTCGTAACTACAGAACGGATTTTTTTCCGGGTTTAAACATTGGGTATGTTGGTATATTCGCGAGGCTTAAATATTCAATTAGTACTGGAAAATATTCAACTATTAAAAATAAAAATAATAAACATAATTTTCAATGAATTTTTATTTTTTTTCATTCAGTTAAATCATAAAAAAGAAATCAGCTGTTAAATAAGCTGCTATATAATAATAATAATAGTTAGTTAGTTTCTTTCCCTTCCCCCTAACCCGCGGCCGTTTGGTCTCCCCTGCCGAGAGCTTCTATCTGGTTGGGTTTTTATTTATTTTTGTATTTATTTTATTTTGTTGATATTTATGTAAGTATGTTTATCATTTTCATTTACAATTATATATTTTTACAGCCCAACCAGATGAAAAAACTATATAGATACCCCTCATAATAATAAACTTAATTTCAGACAAAGGTCCATAAATTGGTTAGTAACATTACATTTTTTTTATATTTATTGATAGTAAAAATTGCTTAAACTAAAAAAAAATATCATACAATTAAAAAAAAGAACAATATCCGAAATTACTAAAATTACTTATTTTAACATTACATTTTAAATTATTTACTACGATTTAACATTTTAACACTTATGCATGTGCAGGCCAATCCAGTGTTTTAAAAGCGGAGAGTCCCACCTATCGGCCAAAGCGCTTAGGATGCTATTTGAAGAGTCCCTAATACGAAAAAGAAGCGAGGCGCATCTCTTTCGCATTATATCATAAAAGTCGTCCGTACGTGCATCCGCGAACATAGTAGATGCACTACAGTGACGAGCTAGTTCCATCAAAATCCTAAACACATTGTTATATTGAACGCGCAGTGCACTATACGTCCGCTGCGTGTACCCAACCCACACGCTACACGTATAAAAGGTTTGACAGTACGCTTTGAAGAGCATTACTTTAACCTGTCTAGTGGACTTAGCGAATCTGCGCGTCAGCATGTTGCAACGGACTGCCAGTTCTCTGCGTTCTATCTCAATATCGCAGTCATCGCTCATGTTTTCTGTGAGCCAGTGCCCTAGATACTTAAACTTAGATACTCTTTTTATAACTGTCCCACATAAATTTACAGGCGGTACGTTAGCACTTCTCTTAGCATCTGCCCCAAAAATCATTAGCTCACTCTTTTTGGCGTTGTATATAAGCCCATAAGTACTAGCATATGTTTCACAAATTTTCACTAATTGATGGGCTCAACAACACCATATCGTCCGCGTAACTTATGTTATTTATATTGACTCCGTCTATTGAACATCCAATACCAATGCTGTTGAGCTCAGCGATCAACCTGTTAATATATAAATTGCATATGGTAGGAGAGCTTAATCTGCCTTGCCTTACCCCACACTCAAAGCCATATTCGTCTGACATACCAGTGTCCCATCTAACGTAATTAGTTTGATGTGAATACCAAAATTGGAACAGAGAAATAATCTCATCAGGTATGTCACTCTCTTCTCGCAGTTTTTGCCATAACACCTTATAAGACACCTAGTCGAATGCTCTGTATAAATCCAAGAATAATGCATAGACAGGGGTTTTTCTGGTCTTGTAGTACTTGAACGTCTGCTTGAGACAGAAAATTGCACTTTCTGTTGATATTTTTGGTCGAAAACCAAATTGTGTGTCATGCAAGGAGATGTGTTTTTGCAGATATTTATCAAGCAAACTGTCAAGCACTTTTGAGATTACAGTAGCCAATGATATCGGCCTGTAATTAGACACGTCTGCTGCGTCCCCTGTTTTATTTTTTATAATTGGTACTACTAACGTCTTCATAAGGTTTGCTGGCAAATACATATGCGATAAACAAAGATTAAAAAACAATGCCCAACCCTGGGTAAATGAACACCTGCATATATCAAAGGCTCAATACTGAGCCTGTCGTGACCTGGAGATTTTCTACGCTTCATATCTTTAATAACATCATCCATTTGCTTTGCTGTGTTCCTTACACTGATTGCCGTTTGCTGAAATTACCCATCTATCGATTGTGCTGAGAGGCCCAGGGGAGATATAACCTTAAAATAATTTTTGCAAAGATTTACTATCTCACCCTCTCCACTCACACCTGAGACACTAGCAGGGAGGCTCGGCTGATGGTTTAAACTACTAGTATGCTTCCAAAAGTTCTTTAAAATTTCCTTTAGCATGACACGATGCCATTTTATCCATTTTCATTTGCTCTACATTATCTTGGCACCATATTAACTTAGCTTCGAAATTACGTCATGTTTTACATATATTATTGTATACTTTTCCGGTGCAAGCTTTACTACACATTTGCCAGATTTGATATGCTAAACGAGCCTCTCTGTGCGCGTCTCTGACATACCTATTCCAGCCAATCACATATTTCTTATGATTTTTATGTACGTAAGATCGTTCAGCTGCCTCACTAAGAACTCTTACAATTTTACAGTACATTTCATCTAAAATTATATTCGTTAACGCCTCGTCTGTGTTTACTATGTAGTCGCGTCTTGACGTGGCCAATTCACGAGTGTTCGAAGCTCATAAAACAAAAAGTTTCTTGAGCATACCATAGCTGGCAGCACTATCTCTAGTCATTGTGTTTTTTCGTGCCACAACGACGAGTAGTATTCCGCCATTTTGTATTAACTAAAAATAGTTAAAAATTCTGTAATACACAATGGCAAGGAAAAGAATATTGTTGGAAAAGCTCATTAATCTTTTGGGAGATTCGGACGAAGGTAATATACTTTACATTTCTTATTTTTTCAGATTGTTTTGTTTTTACCGTTTTCACTAAAAGCGTCATCAAAAGTTTTATGACTATCGGAAAATAAATAAATCTCGATAAAACTTGCGGTACCACGAGCGGGTACACGAGTTATTTAATTGTTGTCATATTTACCAGTGTTTGGCGATAGAACGAGCGTCTATACATAAACATGGTACCAACAATGTCGACAATTTATGAGATCACATAATATAGCCCCTGTTTAGTGTTTTGCGATAGAACGAGCGTCTATACATAAACACAGTAAAAACTAATTTTCTTGCGGTGCCACGAGCGGGTACACGAGAATATTCCTAAAATATAAGGGGCCTTTTTTGCAGAAAAACAAAAATTTGTACTTAATTTTGGTTAAGGAAGATGTTTTTTAGTATAGTCTGTCATAAGTCTTTTGTTTTTTTCACAACATCACAACTTTTCAGTTGACAAACCACGGAAAAGACGGGTGATCGACAGTGACTCTGATACTGAAAACGAAAGCCAAACGAAGAGAAAAAGAATAATTGTACAAAGTGATAGTGAGGAAGAAAATAATGAAAGCATGTCCCCAAATGTTCTGCAACTCTTAGGGGAAGAACCAAAATATGAAAATATCTTGGAAATCCATATAGATATCGCAAACATTTGGAATAACATTGTCACTAATGGGTTAGATAAAGAAAGTAAAGACAAGATTAATAAAAAGATACCTACACTTAAAAACTGTGACATAACTGCACCAAGTCTTAACTCTGAAATATTAGCAACATTATCCGCAAGTGCAAAAACTAGAGACGAGAGACTTAAGGAAAAACAGAATCAAATTGGTTACATTATAGCAAATTTGAACTGTGTCTTAAAATCATTGCTTGTTAAAAATGATTCGAACAAAGAAGAAATAGAAAAAATTAGTGATAGCCTCCGTCTCCTTTGTGACCTTCAATTCATGGAGTCAGAAACCCGAAGGGCTGTGATATTACCAGGACTCAATAAAAGCATTAAAAACAGCTTAGAAAAATGTAAAGCATCAGATGGTTTGCTCTTTGGTAAAAATCTTTCTGAAACCATAAAAGAAAGTAAAAGTATTGAACGGTCTTCAAGGGATTTGAAGAAAGCTTCAGAAAAGCCTAATGCCCCTATTAACAATCCTTTAAACTCCTGGGGCCCGTCCACATCATCGAAGAGGAAACCACATCAGGGCGGGCAATACCAGCATTACCATCCTCGCCATTCTTCTCAGAGAGCTCATCGCTCTGCAATGACACAAGCTCAAAACCGGCCAATGCGAGGCAAACCAAAGCAGTGGAACAGGAAAAAAGATTAGAGGTATGCAGTGCAGCAAAGTTACCATTGTTTTTTAATAATTGGCTAAATATTTGCAAAAGCAATACCATTTTAGGGTGGGTTAAAGATGGTTATAAAATACCTCTATTACACCATGTAAATCAATCTAACCCCCCCTTAAATAACTCCTTTAATAGGTCAGAAATTACTATTATTAAAAAATGTATAAAACATTTGATGAATATAGGTGCTGTAAAAATATGCATTCCTATTAAAGAACAATATCTTTCAAAAATCTTTGTAGTTTCTAAACCAGATGGATCTTATCGCTTTATTTTAAATCTGAAATCTTTTAATAAACATGTTGAAACTCACCATTTTAAATTAGAGGACATAAGAACTGCCTTAAAATTAATTTCACACAATTCTTATATGGCAAATATTGATCTGAAAGATGCATATTTTTGTTTACCAATACACAGTACTTCTTGTAAGTTCTTGAGGTTTTATTTTAGCAACAAATTATATGAATTTCAAGTGCTTCCTTTTGGACTGTCATCAGCTCCTTATGTTTTTACCAAATTAATGAAACCCATTGTTACATACCTAAGAAAACAAGGTTTTTCATCGGTTAATTATTTAGATGATTTTTTATGTATTGAAAATTCATTTGAAAAGTGTGAACAAAATGTCAAAGCCACCTGTAAATTACTGGAATCTTTAGGTTTTATTATTAATTATAATAAAAGTAAACTCATACCAGAGAAAAATTGCAAATTCCTCGGCTTTATACTAGATTCAGAAAACTATGTGTTGGGTATACCAGAAGTCAAAAGAAATGATCTTTATAAAAAACTAAAAACATTCTGTAAAGCTAAGACATGTACTATACGTTGTTTTGCTTCTTTGATAGGTAGCTTAATTGCAGTGTGTCCTGCCATTCCTTATGGCATGTTGTACACAAAAAGACTAGAACGTTTAAAATTTTTGGCCCTTCAGGCAAATAAAGGAAATTATGATAGCAAATTGGTTTTAGGAAGTGACATCATAGAAGATTTTACTTGGTGGGAAAATCATATACACATATCCACAAATCCCATTAGAGAGGCTAAGTATAAAAAGGAAATATTTACCGATGCCTCCTTAACAGGATGGGGGGTGGTCTGCAATAATGAAAAGCTTCATGGTTATTGGAATAACAAGGATAAAAAGCATCATATAAATTATTTAGAGCTTAAAGCTATATATTTTGCCTTACAGTGTTTGTGTAAAGACCTAAGAGATTGTCAAATTTTGTTACGCTGTGATAACACCACAGCAATTTCTTATATAAATCGAATGGGTGGGATACAATACCCACATTTAAATAACTTAGCTAGAAAAATTTGGCAGTTTTGTGAAAATAAAAATATATTTATTTTTGCATCATATATCCCTTCCACAGAAAATTATCTTGCAGATAGAGAATCTAGGAAAATAAATGAAAGCACCGAATGGGAACTTCATGGCCATGCATATAAAGAAATTATTGCTAGACTAGGTTCTCCGTGTATAGATCTTTTTGCATCAAGAATAAATACAAAATGTAAATTGTTTGTGTCATGGCATATGGAACCAAACTGTTGGGCTGTTGATGCATTTACCATTTCATGGAAAAATCTATATTTTTATGCATTTCCACCTTTTTCTCTCATATTAAAATGCTTAAGAAAAATAGAAGATGACAATGCAATAGGAATTATAGTGGTTCCGAACTGGCCATCGCAACCTTGGTTTCCATTATTTAAATCCATGGTTAAATCAGAAATGATCCTTTTTCACCCTCACAAATATTTATTATTATCTCCTTTCAGGAGCTGTCATCCACTTCACCAGAGCCTTACATTAGTTGCAGCCATTGTATCAAAAACATGTATTTAAAGAAGGGCTATTCTGAAAAGAGTATTTCTATTATAATAAGTTCCTTATCTAAAAACACTTTGAAACAATATGATTCCTCTCTAAGACAATGGTGGAATTTTTGCCAAAATAACATTAAAGATCCATATAAAAAGGATATACCAAGTATTTTATCGTTTCTTACTGAAAAATTTGAAAGTGGAAGTGCTTATAGTACCATTAATTCTGTTAGATCCGCATTATCACTGTTATTTAATTGTGATTTGGGTAATCATAAAGACATAAAGAGGTTTTTTGATGGTTTATACAAAATAAGACCAAACAAACCAAAATATGAAGAAACGTGGGATCCAGCCCAAGTCTTAGAATATTTAGCCAATTTTTATCCCAATATTAATTTATCTTTAGAAGTATTAACAAAGAAGTTGGTTATGTTATTAATGTTAGTTACTGCTCAGAGACTGCAAACTATGGTTTTAATTAAAATAGAAAATATCAAAATTGAATCATCCGGTGTAAAAATTAGAATCCCAGATTTGATTAAAACGTCAAGAAAAAATAAATTTCAACCATTACTCCATATACCTTTTTTCACAGATAATGTATGTATATGTCCAGCACAAACCTTAATAGACTATTTACAAAGAACGATTGAACTTCGTCTGTCTGTTCAAAACTTGTTTATAAATTTTAAAAAACCTCACAATTCAGCATCAACACATACTTTAGCTAGATGGATCAAGGATATTTTGTCAAAATCTGGCATAGATACCTCATTATTTACCGCTCATAGTACTAGACATGCCTCAACATCTTTAGCAAATCGCAGTGGTATTAATATTGACCATATCAGAAAAACTGCCGGTTGGACTAATAGATCTAGCACGTTTGCAAAATTTTATAATAAGCCTATAATTGATCAAAATAATTTTAGTACTTGTATACTAGCTAGTATAAGTAAGTAAAATGTTACTTTAAACCTTAGTTTTATCAACACTGATTTTTTGTTTTTGTCTGTTATATTTCATTAAATAATTAAACAAATTACTGCAATTTCATTCTTTAAACATCTACATAGTAAACACAGACGAGGCGTTAACGAATATAATTAAGTGATCAAAGTAACTTACCTGTAAGTGAACTTCGATCATAATTATATGAAGTTAACGCCTCGTCTGTGTACAACCCTCCCCTATATAATGTGAATATATAGCCCCACCCATTAATTGCTATGTTTAATTATTTTGTTTTTATTCTTTGAACTCAATGACTAGAGATAGTGCTGCCAGCTATGGTATGCTCAAGAAACTTTTTGTTTTATGAGCTTCGAACACTCGTGAATTGGCCACGTCAAGACGCGACTACATAGTAAACACAGACGAGGCGTTAACTTCATATAATTATGATCGAAGTTCACTTACAGGTAAGTTACTTTGATCACTTAATTAGCTTATGAATAGGATCTGTACACATTTAATCACAACACTTCGCAAATTGCTGCGGAAAGTCTATGTCTTTCAATTTCGTATTGCATATCTGCCTATACATATTTATTTGACTATCATTTCTTTTACCCCATGTTATCTTATTTACATAAATTTCATTATTAATTACACTGTTACTTCTAAACAAGCTTATGATGCACTCAATTTGCATTGGATAGTGATCAGAATAATATGCACTAATATAATACTTTTGCTCCGACATCTAAAGTCTTAGCCACTTCCGTAACAACCAATGGTCAAGCCACCTCTGACTACCATGTACCTCACTAACAAACGTATATGTGTCTAATGGAAGCATGTTCATATCCACGCAGGACCACAAACATTCTGAACAAAAGCTTAATAATTCATTACCAAAAAGCGTACCTGGATGCGCATTAAAATCCCCTAAAATGAAAACATTTTCAACCGCCTCACTTTCCATAATTGCATTGACCTAACTCAGGCACTCAATGAATTCAACTAATTTATCACTACAGTCTGTTGGCATATAGACTGAGAATATAAGAAACGTACACTCTTGTATTTGCAACTTAATTGCTGCAAGGCGCACACTGTTACACTTTACTACGTCAACTATTTTAAAAGCACTCCATAATAGTGCAACTCCTCCATACGGTCTGCCCCTAATTAGGCCTACTGATGTATCCATTGCTGATTTTCCAGTATACATGAAATCCTGATGAATATTTCCAAGGAAATCTATATCATGTGGAAATAACCATAATTCTTGCACAGCTATAACATCCGCTATCTCACAAAGTCATCTTAAGCATTCAACGGACATTTTGGCTGATTTATAATTAAAGGTTACAAACTTGATTGTACTATCCATCCTGAGTTAGTAATTTAACAGTATCTGACTTCTTCTTTCCTTTATACTTAAAATGTATAAACTGCCTAAATGATATACCACCTGGCCATAGGTTATCATCCAAAAATGTTGATAATTTATGTTTAGATACCAACAACTTGTAGGCATTATATCCCTCATCATTTTTCATTTCTATTTTTTCTAATGGCACTCTTTCGTTTGTTCTTGACATTATGTATTCTATTATGTCCTTCTCATTTGTGTCCTTATGCACATTGGAGATAAATAGAGGCACTTTCCATTCTGCAGCTTTAAATTTCATTTCAAGCTCAGTAATTGCCTTGCCAGTTTGACCCACAAAACGATTACGTAACGCTTTTGAACAACTATCCACTCTTCTTGTAGCTCATCTTTCTTCCAAGGTCCGCCCTGTTTAACCACATCAGCTAATGACTTTTGTTTGTCACCCGATACAGCCGTAGAAGATTTATAAGGCCCGCTTGACTCGATTACCGTTCGATTTGAATATTTGTTTTCGTTATTGGTTTCATTAGGGCTTGCGGAATTATTAACTGTTAATGACATCGACTTCGGAACAACAGGCCTCACCTTCACGCTGCCATTAGACATCTCACCACTCTCACGCTTTCTCTTTGAAGGAGTTTGAGAGATAATCTGTTTGTTGTTATTACTTAGATGTTCATATTGCACTGCGCACACGCTCTTTTGGGGGACTGGGATTGTTGCATCGTTTATCATATATTTTGCGGCAGAGACGAGCTTTCTATTTAGTTGCTCGCTCACGCTCTCTTTAAGGAAAGGGATAGTTATATCGCTCCAGTCGTTTGCATTCGTATTAACAGCTGATTTTAATTGTGTCACAGCGTGTGACGTAAATTCCAGGCCTATAGGCCCACTGTCTCCGAACATATGATCATTGTTAAATAAGAGTGTGTCTCTACATCTACCTGCAAAATTAAAAGATGTAGCCGTTGCTTTGAAATTTAGGTAATTCTCAATATGTTTATCCAAGTCTTCTTTTGTCACATATAGATCTTTCATCATTTGTATATCTGTTCGTAATATAATAATGTCTTTCAATAATCGTGTAATGACGTTACACGATTATTGAAAGACATTATTATATTACATGGTCGAAAGTGATAGGTGGCAATTTTTACAAATCTTTTTACAAATCAACGAAAATTGGTACAGCATCGGGGTGCTGTTTTTTTAGATAGCGAAATTATATAGACCAGATCTCTTTGTTTTTTGCCCTCATTGCAGCGATTAGATTGTTGCAGCTTGCCTTCTCTTCGACGAATATTTTTACTTTTTACGGGTGGCAATGATTTAAAAAGGAGGCATTTTAATTTATCAATATCATCTGCTTCAAAAGCACTGCTACAGATACGTACTATGCTCTCATCGTTTATCATATCTGCCTTATTTTGAATAATGGCCAGGACTTCACTAATCACAATATTGTAACTTGAACACTTAAGTACATTAGACGACGTCATTGTCGCACACAGCCCTTATGCTCGCAGCACTTGCGCTCATTCGGGCGGTTCGCGGGAGACTGATATATTCTAATCTAATACTTTTATACTTTTTGGTACTGGTACTAACAGAAAATATTGTGGGTATACTTTTTTTAAGGGGGAATTTCTTGTTTCGTTTCCGTGTTTTGAATAAAGAGAATAATTTTGTTTCGGACTCCAACTCATATGCTTTTTAGGCATAGTTTTAGTTTCGGGTCAATTCGAAACTGACATGAGTAGAAAATAATAGAGTAAAGCAATAAAGTAGTTTTGTTACGTGGTAGAGCCATGCTGCAGCTATGTTACTAGTATAGTTGTAGCACGAATGTGTCGGCTAGACCGGGTAAGGACCACGCTCTCACAGAATACCAGCGTCAAATAGCAGCTTAACACTGTTGTGTTTCGTATGGTGAGTGTAGAGAACTGGAGACCCTTTTTATTGGAAAAGAGGCTTTCCATCTTAGTCATCACGGGTGACTACGCATCTTCATTTTGATCCCCAAACGAGGATAAATGTAGATGTCTATGGAACACAGCATTCACTTAGTATCAGGTGGACTGTGTGCTCGTTTGTCACCCTATCCTATAAAAAAAGCAAAAAGAGCATAAAAGTAACACAGCTAAGGAATTTGACTCGAGCTGCATACAATATCTCTTTGTTAATTGCTCAAACAGGTAAACCACATAACATCGGAGAAACACTAATTTTGCCGGCAATAAAAGAAGTTATAACTACTGTGCTCTATAAACCGGCCGCAGACATTATTTGAAAAATTTCTTTGAGAAATAGTTCTGTACAAAGAGAATTGATGAAATGGCCGAAAACATTGGAGAGTAATTGTGCAATCACCTGAAGACTAGTCAATTTTTAATTCAGTTGGAAAAGTTCACTTTACTAACTAATGAAGCATTGTTGCTGCTAACTTGAGGTTTATTAAAGATGAAAAAATGTAACAAGAACTATAATTTGATAGAAATTTAGAGACAGACACAAAAGGAGAAAGCATATTTAAAACACTTTAAAAGTTTTGTGACGAAAATGGAATTCCCTTGAAGAATTATATCAGCTGCTTCAGATAGTGCTGCAGCTACGACGGAGCATATTAAAAAAGGCTTCATAGCGTACTTAAAAAACAAAATTCCAGATGTGCTAGCTGTACATTGCGTTATACATCGACAACATTTGGTTGCTAGAAATATAAGTGAACGACTGTTTCAATCATTGCGACATGTCATCAGAGTAGTCAATAAAATGCGAAACAACTCTTTAAATGACAGATTATTTAATCAGCTTTGTGTTGCTAATAATGAAGATTTCAACCAATTGATCTTTCACACAGAAGTGCATTGGCTATGAAAAGGAAATTGTCTGATTTACAATCTGTTTGACACTGTCGTAAGAGTTCTTGTAAAACAAAGACACAGAATTTCGCGACAACCTCATCACATCAAAGAATGATATCGCATACCAGACAGACCTTTATAAATTGTTTAATTATATTAATCTTCAACTTCAAGGCGATGACTTGAACTTAATAAAAACTGCTTTCGTAGCCAAGCTACTCTTACACAAGAAGAATATCGCAGACGTGAGTTCCATAATTTTTCCAATTTATCAGTATGCTGCAACAACGACAACTTGCTTGTCTACTGCCAGCATTTGGAAAATCTCCACAGTGATTTCATTGAAAGATTCCAGGACATTTTGAAATTGGAAATACCAAACTGCGTGTTAGATCCTTTTTCAAATATCAACATAACAGTATTACTCCAAATGGAAAAAGAACTTATAGACCTGACAACGAACGAGGAAATAAAAATTAAATTTAAAATGGCTACCAAGAATTTTAGCTATAAAAGTCCATCCCGCAGTTTTACACTAGATTGTGATGGATCGTCCAACGATTTTTGATAGCACTCCCATCGTCATATTTGTGTGAACATGGATTTAACACTGTAACAACGCGACTTACTAAAAAAAGTTTGCATGTTACCGAACGCGGCGACTTATGACTTTTTGAGTAAAATCGAACCTGATATCAACAAACTTGTTAAAAAGCATCAAATCCATCCAACTTATTAGATTAGTTTTAGAAATAAAA